TAAACACAACTGACACAGAAGAAAGTCAGCTACACGAATTAAGTGTTTGTTTAATACCAGAAGATCAGTTATTAAATCAGATGAATAGTATGACCAATGACCAGAAAAAAGTTATGAATTTTGTAAAAGCTCATTTTCAGTCTATTCGATCCAATGTTAGTTTAAATTCTATGCATATTTTTATTACGGGAGGAGGTGGTGTTGGTAAAAGTTTTTTAATAAGAATAATGATTGAGTGGTTACTTAGATGTACAATAAATGTTATAGGCTTTGACCCTGTAGTTGTATGTGCACCAACAGGAACAGCAGCAAAAAATATAAATGGAAGAACCCTTCATAGTACATTAAGTTTACCTGTTCAACATGGAAAGGAACCATATTATATGGAAGTATCTGCATTAGCTTTAAAAACTTTGAGGCATAATTTCCAACATATTCATACTATAATTATAGATGAAATATCTATGGTTAGTGCTAAAACCCTAGAATTTATACACAGAAGGTTATGTGCTATCAAAAACTCAGATAAACCTTTTGGCGGTCTTAATGTTATTGCTGTTGGTGATTTTTACCAATTACGACCAGTATGTGGTCATTATGCTTTTACTAATAAGCAGTTATGGTATATTTTCAAGCCTTTTTTTTTTAAAGAAAATGTACGCCAAAATGGTAATAATACCTTTTCTAATTTGCTGAACAGAGCTCGAATAGGTGCCTTAACCAGTACTGATATCCATATTTTGAATTCAAGAGTATTAACTCCCTCATCAAGTAACATATCAAAAATATTACACCTTTTTCCAAAGTTAAACAAGTTCAAGCACATAATAAAAATTAAAAAAAAATAAATAATCAAACAATCAACATAAGAGCCAAGCATGTATTCTCTCAAAATGATAATGCAAAAAACAATAATGTAACAAATGATTTAATTCCAAAGGATGACAGAAATGCTGGTGGTTTACCATTGGTTTTATCTGTATCAAGCGGTACAAGAATTATGTTAATTCGCAATATTTATACTAACAAAGGTCCAGTAAATGGTGCAATGGGATATGTAGAAGTTATAGAGTTTAATGCTGAAACTAAAGAACCAAAATATATATATGTAAAGTTTGACGACAGTGAAATTGGGAAAATTTTTCAAAATTCATCTGCTCACAATGCAATTCCAATAGAACCAATTCAACAAGAATTCCATTATAATGGACGTAGTATTATTAGAGAACAATTTCCTCTTACACCATCATGGGCTTGCAGTATTCACAAAGTTCAAGGTGCCTCTTTAGATCAAGCTGCAATGTCTATTGGAAATGATGTATTTCAAAATAGCATGTCTTATGTAGCACTTAGCAGAGTTCTCTTGATGGACTTTATCTTATTGCATTAAATGCAAATAAAGTAAAACCATGTTTCAATGTTGTTGAAGAATATGAAAGACTGAGAAAATTAGCTAACAAAAATGAAACTGACGGTTAAAGGAAAATAACTATGCATTTATTATTCTTTAAAAAAAAATTACAACTACTGCAGAATCAGTTACAGTTTGTGTACACAAATCTTATTAGATATGTAATACAGTATATAACAGTTACACAATTTAAATATATATGATGTATAAATAAAATTAAATTGACTTCTATCATAATGCTTGAAATATTTATTTTACAGCATGCTTACTCTCCAGGAAATTAAAAGCTTACCACCTGACAGCAGTAAGGTGTGTCCAACAGCCAAAGTTGTGGTGTTGGACATAAGTGAAATAGAACCAGCAACACCAAGATGTAAAGCCAAATTTTTTGTTATTGTAGCCGACCAAACTGCTTCCATCTCGTGCACTGTATACGATATATCACAGAGACAAAAACTCATCAAGAACATGGCAGTTGTCTTAGTAAATATTTTGATTAAGCAATCATATATTGCTGTAACAGAGAGAACTGAAGTTGGTATGTGCAAGTCATTTGACATTCCAGAAGAAGTCCGACAAAATGCAGCCAAACTACCAGGGGACCAGGCGATGAATATTGAAATGGCTAAACATTCACCTGTTAAAACTCTAACGAATATCAAGGGAAAGGTCGTTAATGTAAGTATCAACTGTGCTCTATATTTCCAATTTCCTGTTACTTATGAATTATATATTGTATTTGACAAATTTTCCATAATTATTGGGCATATGTTTTTAGCAATTTTGGTTGGTCTTTACTGTTTGATATCAACTTCCTGTGAAACATAACATTGGTTTTTGAAAATCAGGTGTATAATTCTACTCCATGTAACCTAGATGGCTACCAAATGGTTATGACCATAAAAACATACAAACAAAAATTTGCTTTAAAAAAATTATACATGTATTTCTTAATAACATACAATTCAATACAGATTTGTTTTTAATTTCGTTTTGAATTTCAAATTTCATTGAAATTGAATAACAATTTCTGTCTTTTTTAGGTATACCCCTCAGTAACCAAGGACATAAACGATGACACATTACAATTGCAAGATATTGTAATAAAAGATCAGAGTGGAAGTGTAACACTTGCATTGGGGGATAAACATGTAAATAAATTTGAGAAAGGCCAGATTATAAAGGTGACTAAATGCCGAGTTAAATTGTTCAATGGGGATAAGAAATTGTCAACAACCCGATCAACAAACTGTGACGTAAGAAGTTTTGTTTCATTGTATATTTATATAAAAGCGAACATTGCAGGTGTGAGCTCAACAGTAATATGCACGAAGACCCAGAAAATAGATGAAAAACATAAAAACAAAAACAAACAAAAATATTGTGTACAGAGAAAATGAAAGTCACATATTGACCAGGGACATTCTGTTGTATATATCTCTGCACTGACTTGAAAGTGGAAGTAAACTTTTAATCAAAATTGGGGAAAGATAAAAATCAAATGTTCAATTCATGAAACAACAAAATTAAAAAAAGAATCAATTTGCTTTCTGACAACATGAAATTGGTTGATTAAAATGTTGTACATAGATTATAGCTCCTCTAAAGGTTAATCAGCTGTAATTGATAACAGTCAAGTATACACCAAAATAATACTGCCATTAAACCTAAGTTTACATTGTTCAAATTTTGAATAATAATTGTATGTTGTATAGATATCCAATTTTAAATACTGGATGATTCACTTTTTCTAGATCTTAGGTTAGGACAACGATTTGAGTAGTTTGTCAGAAGAAGAGGAAAGCAAGGAAGATGAAGCAGTGGATAGTACTGTTGAAAATGGAATGATCACAAGTGTCTTTGATGTGGACCCTTATTTAAGTTGTCCAAACAAAGGTTGCAATAATAGCAAACTAATAACTGTCTTGGAGAATACGAAGTATCAAATGCAGTGTAAAAACTGCAAAGTTCAAACATCAGCATCATGTGAAAATAATTATATGCGTGCCACAATCTTCTTTGAAAGCGGTGATCTTCAGAAAAAAGTTGCAATATTCCTGCCACAAATTCAAGATCTGTTCAAAAGTAGGGGTATTCAAATGAGTGTTTCTTATGACCGCCAAGAAATCTTGTCACAGTTATTTGAAATTCTACCTGTTGCTGCTAAATGCAAGATTATAAACAATACTGTCCGTTCAATAAGTGTCAAGAGAGATGCTGAAGCATTTAACTGAATTATGTTTGCTCAGTTCCAAAATTTAATGACTGTCTTTACTATGCATAATACAATTTTTGGCCTTTGTATGATTTAGAATTTTTCTGTAATATCCATATTTTGGTTTTGAAATTGTTATAATACCTGTATACTTAAAATATTAGGCTATTGTCAAAAGATTGTAGAGTATTTTTTGCCTCTTTTACACTGTAGTTCACTGGTAAATTTTAAACAAACTTTTACAGAATGAATCTTTGTAGACCCCTTTGTTTAAAACAAATGAGTGCATTTTAATTTCAATAATAATGGACAATTTAATAGTCCCTTTTCCAGGTTATATTAGGGGTCCTTTTTCTAAATAATATTAGGCAATTGAAGAGTCCCTTTTTTAAGTAATATTAGGCAATTGAAGGGTTTTCTAAGTAATATTGGGCATTTGAAGAGACCGTTTTCTAAGTTATATTGGGCCAATTGAAGAGTGACTTTTCTAAGTAATATTGGGCAATTGAAGAGTACCTTTTCTTAGTAATATTGGGCAATTGAATAGTCACTTTTCTAAGTTATATTGGGCAATTGAAGAGTCCCTTTCCCAAGTAATATTGGGCAATTGAAGAGTCCCTTTTTCTACGTTATATTGGGCAACTGAAGAGTGACTTTTCTAAGTAATATTGGGCAATTGAAGAGTCTCTTTTCTAAGTAATATTGGGCAATTGAGGAGTCACTTTTCTAAGTTATATTAGGCAACTGAAGAGTGACTTTTCTAAGTTATATTTGGCAAATGATATGTGGGATTAGCTGAATGATCAATTATTTCGAACTCTTTTACAAGACAATCGTAGTAGTACAACTTACAAAGGCAACACTATTTGAAGCTTTGTTCGCAACAACTACAACATACTTATCGTGAAGAGATGGTATATATTTCATAGCTTCTTTGTTACATAAACACAGTTTTTCAAATAATGAACTCTGCGTTTAATCGGTACCTGATTGTTTTGACCCATTCTGACAACGTGTCTTGTTCAACTTTATCACATTCTGTGGCGAAGTCCTCAGAGGATTCCATATTTATTTTTTTTAAGTTATGGCTTCAATTGATGTGTATAAGTTCTCTAAACTTAGAACTTTGATATATCACCTATCTTGAATCATGTTTAAATCCCCAGTAATAACATGTCCAGAGGGGGTGTAAATATAATGTCAGTTGGAACAGTCACATGTCAAATATTTTTAAAATGTATTATTCTAAATCAAGATCATCCATTGCTTGCCTATAATTGAATACTTGACTTTAATAACTTTGCGTCACTGTAGGATACAGACTAATTTTGAAAATAAAATGGCATTTTAGATCTTACCTCTTTGTGATAAAGAACATTGCTGATAATGATTGCATCAATTCCTTAATTTGAATATTTAACTGGACGGAATGTCCTCTTTTCATCATGTGAAGGTTCCTCTCCTACTGGTTTTACAGACGGAAAAGAGCTACATAATAAATTATACTGACTAGTATGGAAACAAAATTGTAGATCAGGAAGCAAAGAATGCGCAGAACGAGTATCGAATCTTGTAAAATGTAAAAGAATTTATCAATAAAACTGGCTAATTCAAGGCTACATCTAGTACAATTATCTATAAAAAGTGTTCAATTTAAGGTTACATCTACAGTCCTTGGATGGTGTAAACTTCCCACTCACACCATACACCATTACACCATTCACCATACACCATTACACCATACACCTTGTGCCATTACACCATACACGTTACACCTTTGCACCATACACCTTACACATTACACCATACACCATTCCCCATTCTATCTACACGATCCGAAATTACCCATTATGCAATTAAATTTCAAAGAAAGCGTGCGACTACAAAATTATTTATTTGATTTAAAAAACGAATTTTGATCACAATATTGTAAATTAATGTATAAAATTAAAATCTCCGTGGTCATGCCTATGATGGTTATATAAACAATACAGATTAAATATATATACATGTATTTGTAAATAAAGTACGCATAAAACTTTGCTTGTAATGCAAATTTATCCGCGATCTGCCTGTCTATAAATTAAAAACGATATTGGTTACAATGCTATTATTATCGGTTTTAACATGTATCGTAAATCTTATAAACTTGGTTTTCAGATAAAATCGACAAACAATGCCAAAAACGAATACTTCAGGATGACTGGTACATGCATAGTTGCCAACTGACATGATATTCGCGTGTAATACACGCTTTTTCAACGGTTTACACGCGAGGACTTTATCACATGGCGTGTACACGCTTTTCACCACTTTACACGCAATTACACGCTTTTTAGTTGTTTTGATTTTTTGGTTGTTAGTGATATCGCGATTCTCGGGTTTTTTCATTATAACACGATAAATACCGAAATTTCGAAGTAATTGTTTGGTGGCCATTGTTTATTTTTCTCTATATGGACGAACAGCAAAAGCTCTTAAGGTAAGTAGTTTGTGATTAGTTTTTACGATTTTGGGACTTTCTTTCTTTCAAATTCACTTAGGGAAAATGTCCACAGAAAGAGGTAGCTTTCAGGACCTGTACCGTCGTCTAAAGAGTCGATTTCTAAGCGAAAACGATGTGTACGTACCAAGATTCAAGATTTATAAATTATATTTGGGAGTTCGAGTTTAAATCATCGAGGGATGAGTAACGCATTGTGCACTCTATGTTGCAATTATAACAATACATATGAGAGAACTAAAATACATAGCTATTTGATTAAGCATTTAACAATTATAAAATATTTTTCTTTTTCAGTTTCAAATGTAGCCAACAGATTTCCACAGGCCATAGGGGATGGAAATATCACGGAACTGTTGGATCAGTTCTCATAGTATTAGCTGTCTTCTGATGAACTACCCAGTTTTGACCAGGCAATAGCAACATATATTGTATAGTTTGTTGGGAGCAATGGCAGAGATCATAGATGACATTTTAGATGGCAAAAAAAAAACATTATAACACTCTTTCAAAGCTTCATGAAGCTATTTTAGTTCGGCCAAATATCAATTCTGACTGTGAGAGATCATTTTCAATTATAAAGAAATTTACACTGAAATCTGATCAGAACTTGACAATGATATGTTGTGTGCCTTGTTATCAAGTAAATGTAACCAAATCAGCCGGTGTTTTGACTATGTGCCTAGTGGTGTTGCTTTAAAAGCAGCAAAACAGACCACTGTTGAATACAATAAAAGTTTACAGTTGCATATTGTTTTTTATATTAACAAATTTGCATATAATGTGAAATTATGAACATTGTTCATATTAAAAAGTACGCATCTACGTCACGCGTACAACAAAATTATTTTAAGCATCAACCAAAACTGACCATATTTGCACTTATAATTATAAAATTGAGAATGGAAATGGGGAGTGTGTCAATCTGTTAATTTATATAGGGTTAAAAAATTTGGAAATATTTTTGCCCTCCTTTTATTAAAAATATTGTCCCGCTACAAAATTTCAGTAATTTTGATACCTCAGGCTGACTCATATAACAAAATTATTTAACTCATCAACCAAAACTGACCATAATATTTTCACTTTATTATATAGATCTATATAGCCGCATAGTAAATCAGCAATATTTTGATGTCAGGATGGATTGTATAATACAAATGACAGCAACATTGCAAAACAACATGTACAATGACAAAAATTTGTCTCCATCAATCTAGATTGCCAGCATGTCCTCTTTTTATTCAATATATTGTCTCGCAACAAAATTTCAGTAGTTTTGATACCTCAGGTTGACTCGTATAACAAAATTATTTTAACGCATCAACAAAAACTGACCATATTTGCACTTTATTATGTATATCTATAAAGCCACATAGTAAATCAGCAATATCTTGTTGTCAGGATGGATTGTATAACACAAATGACAGCAACAGTGCAATACAATGACAACAAAAAATTTGTCCTGATCAATCTTGATAGCCAGCATGACCTCTTTTATTCAAAATATTGTCTCGCAAGAAAATTTCAGTAGTTTTGATACCTCAGGCTGACTCGTATAACAAAATTATTTTAAAGCATCAACCAAAACTGACCATATTTGCACTTTATCATGTAAATCTATTTAGCCGCATAGTAAATCAGCAATATTTTGATGTCAGAATGGATTGTATAATACAAATGACAGCAACATTGCAACACAATGACGACAAAAAATATACCCATCAATTTAGATAGCCAGCATGTCCTCTTTTTAATTAAACTATGGTCTCGCAACAATTTTTCAGTAATTTTGATACCTAAGGCTGACTAGTATAACAAAATTATTTAAACGCATCAACAAAAACTGACCATATTTGCACTTTATTATGTATATCTATATAGCCGCATAGTAAATCAGCAATATTTTGATGTCAGGATGGATTGTATAATACAAATGACAGCAACATTGCAATACAATGGCAACAAAAATGTGTCCCCATCAATCTAGATAGCCAGCATGTCCTCTTTTTATTCAAAACATTGTCTCGTAAGAAAATTTCAGTAGT